GCTTCTGGACCCCACTTCCCTCTTCCCTGCAACAAGGACCCTTGCAAGTAGCCCCTCCCCTCACACCAGCCTCACCTCTGGCCCCCAATTCTGAGGTAGGTCACATCTGGTCAGTTTCACTCCCCGGCCCCCTCCTATGACGACAAGTGCTTTAACAGACAGTGCAAAAGGGGTCAAAAGCACTGCAGACACGAACCAGACTTTAGAAAAACACATAGTGCGAGTCCTGTTGGGATTCGCAGCAGGCGTTTCCAATGTTTTTCTCGAGGCTGCAGGCTCAGGATTTCCTGTCTTCTCAGGCATTCGCTGAGCAGGCCAAGATCAGCTTCACAGGAAGGCAGGAATGGGGCTTCCTACATTGCTGTCTGCGGGCTTTCTCTGGCTCCTTTCCTCTCCTCCCCTTAGGGTCTTTTTTGTGTATTCTTTCTCCTACTCCTGACACTTTTTCTGCCCCCAGATAAATGTCCGGCCACCTGCCTCCCCACAGGACTGAATCATGGGATCATGATACAATCAACAAATCCAAGGAGCTGAGAGACCCCGGGAGCTGCAGCTGGATCCAGCTGGAATCTTGAAGGCTGGCTCTAGCTACAGGTTTCCACCCTCAAGCGAAGTGCGCAACTGCTTTGCAGAAACCTCCTAACTTCAGCAGGGCAGAGCAATGGGAAGCTATGTCAAGAATTGCTATGGGTATCCGGCCTGATTTAGGGGTAACTGATACATAGCCTAACACCCGCAGAACACCGTTCTTATTAACTGTTCCTTGACTTTGCCCTGTCTTAGGTTGACCGTCCAGAGCATGGGTCATCCCCTCCCTGTCTTTTTGCAATGTAGAGAGGATGGGGTAAACAACAAACACATGACCTCCATTCCCTCTCCAAAACCCACCAGAATGACCGGAAAGGATCTGCAATGTAACAGTTAAAAAGTAAGGCCGGTCATAAACAGTTCCTGAAACCTAAGCAGCTGGCCGGTCTCCTGCTACATTATCCTTGCAGCAAGTTTCAGTGGAAACTATACCCCAAACCCCCAAATCCTTACCCTTTGACTGATGCTAAAAATCCCCCCAAATAGGCCTTTGTTCCTTTAGCTGAGGGCACACCAAATGAATTAATGAAATGTGGATAAGAGCTGGAAGGCAACTACCAGAAGTGGCTGTGGACTAGGATTACAGGCTCTTATTATCCTGACCTCAATATTACAGGTCCAACAACTTAAGAAGCTTTAAGGAGTTTTGTAAAGCATGTATTAAAAAATAAGGCAGGCCCAGTTGGGCAATAGCTCATGCCTGTAATCCCGTTGTGGGAGGACTGTTTGAGGCCAGGAGTTCAAGACCAGCCAGGGAAATAAAACAAGACCCGTCTCTACAAAGATTTTTTTAAAAAAATTACTCAGGCATGGTAGCATATGCCTGTAATCCCAGCTACTTGGGAGGCTGAGGTGGGAGGACAGCTTCAGCCCAGGAGCTGGAGGCTGTCGTGAGCCATGATCGCACCACTGCACTCCAGCCTGGTCAACAGTGAGACCGTCTCAGAAACAACCAACCAACCCAAAAAAAGAAAGGCTCAATTAAAAATTAAAATCCTCCAAAACAGCTACCTAAGCCATTCATGCCTTCTAGCTAATGAAGACTTTGGTTGGGTGGGGTGGTTGCTGAAGGGAGGGAAGAGGCTGGGAGGGTCAGGGCCTCCATGCTTGTCTGCAGGGGGCCCTCACCTCTTCCTCCTGGGAAGCAGGCAGTGGAAGGACAAAGATGCAAAGGAGCTGTTTTGGGGCCTCAGGAAAACTCCTCCATAGATCTCCATGGAGACTACTCCAAGGAGAAAGAGAACCAACGGCAGAAAACCTCCAGAATCCAACCCCAATGCTGACATCCTGAATCGATTTTTGTAAACAATTCCTATATGGACAGGAAAAAAATCTATAAACATATTTAATAACTTATTTATGAGATGTGGTATTTTATTGTTATTTAAGTTTTATAAGATGTGGGGACTTCATTAATTCCCTACATGTATTAAAGTTAGAAATAAAGATTAAAACCAAAAAATATCAATGGTTTTGAATGGTGACAAACCAAACCTCCAATAAGAAATCACTGAACAGCTCACCCAGGCAAGGGGCACCTTGTGTATGTGCAAGGAGTGGATGGGGAAGGCGGTCCCCTGGACCTTGCAGACCCAGCTGTGTCTAAAGGTCACTGCCCAAATGTTTTCCACCACCCCCCAACAGCTTCCTTCCAGGCACAACACATGGCCCGGCTGTGAACCCCCATCAACCTCACAACTGTTTTGACACCAGGCTCAGATGCCGAGTTCCTGAAACAGAATGGCCTCAGCAATGGAGGTTGCCTTGGGTAACCAGAAACCTGAAGCCCGCAGGAATCCTGGAGGGGACTGCTGGTCTGGGAAGATGCCATCCAGAACTACATTAACTCTCAGGTAGCCTGACATTTCTCTTCCTGCTACCTTAGCTATAAGCTGATAATCTGAGCAGCTCTACAGGGACACCAGGCTCCTGCTCAGCTGTGGGTGGGCAGGTGGCTGTGCTGGGTCGCCCCTGCCGCCTACAGGCAGAAAGCGGACAGTGCAAGGTTTCCTTCCAAACGAAAATCGCCCTTCACAGAGCCGAGCCTGGGAATTACCACCAAGAAACCTCACAGCAGTAAAAGGTGCAAAAGGCAATGTTCAGAAAAACAGACCCCAAAACCCGGAGATGGCACAAGTGAATGTGTTGGGCGGCGAACTGGCCAAATGCTTGTGCACTGTCACCACAAATGACCCCAGTGGTCTGACATGACCTCAACCTTAACGGCTTCACAGACCAGGGAGGGGTGTGCTTCCCTTCCTGGTGACAATTTCCTAGCTTTGTTTTTCAGAGTGGGGGATGGCGGGGAGGGGGGAGGTGCTGTCTGGTCTGGAGTACAGTGGTGCTATCATAACTTACTACAGCCTTGACCTCCTGGGCACAAGCAGTCCTCCCACCTTAACCCTCCAGGAGTATGCCACCACTCTAGGTTAACATTTTTTGTAGACAGGGTTGCGATGTTTCTCAGGCTGGATCCTAGCTTTTAATGAAACCATGACATGTGAACTGTGCAGTTCTGCGTGTGCCACAAGGCAACTTTCTCACTTGTGACTTGGGTAAGTCACAGCCTTTCTGGCCTGGATGTCCTAAGGCAGCCCATCTGAAACCACTTCCCATTCCCATCATTTCTAGAAACCCTCAAGGGTTCCAGAAGAATTGTGCACCCACATGGGTTTTCCTGGAGGATCACTAGTTCTCAAAACAAACCATACAAGCACACAGCAAAAGCCTCTCCACACATCACCCTGAAGTGACCCAAATTCCCATTTCTCAATGTGGGACCCATGCACCCCTGCGCTCCAGCAAGATAGCTGTGGATTCCCATCTCATGCTGTTCCTCCTGCTGACAAGTGCCTGCCTGCCTTTCCAGGTCTCAGTACCAGCCTTCCCTTTGACCCACCATGGTGGGTTCTGCAGACCACGTAGGTTGTGGTCAGCATCTAAACCCATCCCCCCAACCCAGACCACTATGCATGCACCCTCACATACATGTAAAGGTAGCAACTCACCAGGTGACTGACAGAAGGGTAAAGGTGACTACATCCCTGACCCAGAGTGCCTCAAATTTCCTAAGTGACTGTCAGATGCAATTTAATTAAAAGCTTTGAAACAAATACAGCAGGTAAAAACATCTACAATCATGCCATCGATTAAGGCTGTATTAGAGATTGCTGGCATAAAACTAATTCAAGGGGCCACTTAAGTGCTGACTCCAACTCAGATTACTCGAGAGAGGCAGATCACTTGGTGAGCAGCAGACCCAGGACTCAGACTCATGTCTCAGCTGTCCATTTTACAAGGTTTAGTCTCAAGAATATGTACCAAGGCCCCAAGGCCCACAGCCAGAGCTCCTCCAACCAGGGCTGATCACACTGGTGCTCAAGCACAGCCACCCAGGAACCTGACAGCAGGAGTGCTAGCTCTACACTGACAGGATGCTAGGTGTGTGAGGGTGGCTGCTGTGGACATTATGGGGCAGATGGGTAGGAAGGACAGACGTGGTTAGGAGCCCAGACTGAAGTTACATTAGAACTGCCAAGTTTAAATTCACTCATTTTGTGCACCGTTTCCCAAGTATGTACTGTGAAGGTAGACAGCACTGTGGCTACCTGTAAATAACTGGGGAGACAAGACATGAAGACCAGTTAAATGTTAAGAAACATGCTCCCTGTATGTACTGAAATCAGTTCTTCAACCCTCATATCAGTTGGTTGCAACAGATGCTAAAAGTGGTGGGTAAAATGTTTTTACTCTCAAATGATCTTTCCATGAATTACTTTAGAGAGGTAAAGCAGATTACCACCCGAAGTGCTCAGTCATCAACAAAAGAATAGACACACACCTCCTAAAGACATGGCATTGGCACTGGGGATTGGTTTCATGGAAGACAATTTTTCCATGGACAAGGTGGGATATGGAAAAAAGGGATGGCTTCCAGATGAAACCATTCCACATCAGATCAGGCATTTGATTCTCCTAAGGAGCGTATAACCTAGATCTGTTGCATGCCCAGTTCACAATACTGGTTCGCACTCCTATGAGAATCTAATGCTGCTGCTAATCTGACAGGAGGCGAAGCTCAGGCAGCAATGCTAGCTCACCTCTTCCTAACAAGCCATGGACCTGAGGTTGGGGATGACTGCCCTATGGTAAAGCCCCTGGTCAAAATGCAAACCTCCATCATGTCAGGAGCAGACAGACAAACCCAGTTTTAGAGACCATCTAAAAAAGGCCTGGAGTATTTAAAAATGTTAAGACTAGGACAAATTTCCCCTGACACCACCCCACCCCCCCGCCCCGACCCCAGGACTCTGGGCAGACCCTGAAACCCTTGTAACCACAGCCAAAGCCTAGCACCACCTGCTTTCCCGGGACACACCCTGGCTTTGGTTTCCACAAAAACAGGCTGTATGTTAGTAGCACGATTATTTTATTATATGCTTTATAAAAAACCAAATGCCCAAAGACATACACCATACCCCCCTCACCCCCCAATGGCCACTAGGGAGGGAGCTCATACTCTTCCTAGAAATGTAGATCTGGCCATCTTACAAAGTAGACCACATTATGTTTCCATATATACCCGTAGATATTTCTCTCCCCTCAAATATTTGTATCTCAACTAAAAAAAGGAGGTGCAAAGAGTATATAAAGATAAATGAGATTTTCTTGCTGTTATGTTTCTTGCTGTAGTCAATACCAGATGACTACCAGTGGAGTGACGGGGCAAAACAAAAACACAAACCCCACCTTCAGCGAGGAATGGAAGGTCTGTTACCTGCCTCCAGCAGCTGAATCACCTGCTGCAACTGGCACCTCCCTGACAATCATGGGTTTGTAGGGACATAGGCCCGGCGATTGCTTCTACTTGTTTCCAGAAGGCAAATGTCTCCTACAGCCTTTCTCAGTAACTTAAGACGAACTACAGGAGAACCCAGTATTTAGATTCTGCCCAGAGATATTAAATGCACAAGGAAAAATTAGTTTGTCCAAGTAGCAAGCAATAATGTTTTTAAACCAACATGGTTAAATGTTAAGATTTGTAGAAATCAAAATATTTATTCACATAATTTTAAAGTTGAAGCTAATAAATTTTCCGTGGTAATGATTTAAGTGCAAGTGATGCTTGGCTTTCTTTCACATTCATTTCTTTTCTTCTGAGTGAAGGCATATCAGTTATTCTTGAACAAGTCAATACAGCTCTGCAAAAGGGAGACATTGTTCTGTGGGGAAAAAAGTCAAGGCAGACCAATGAATTATTAAAACTTGCCATATGCCTGTAATGACTCAAGTCCACCAACATAGCTTTTCACAGGAGATTTAAAGTCAGCCAGAGCAAGCTGGCCCTTCTCTTCATGAAATCCCAGGTGAACTGCAACGTACCACTCATCCCAATTTCATGTAGGAGAGCTCCTCTCCCTCAGTGGGTAAGGCTACCAGCGAAAGAGCTGATGTTCGCCCAGCACCTCTGCCCTCACCTGCTTGCTCCTAAATGTGATCCTATTTACTATAACTTCTTAGACACTATCAGTGCGTTATTCTATGAAGGCGAGGGCCTTGGAAAGATTGAATAAATTGTGCTAGAAATTAGGGCTGGTAGCCGTAGCTCACACCAGTAATCCCAGCACTTTGGGAGGCCAAGGCAGGTGGATCGCCTGAGGTCAGAAGTCCAGCCTGGCCAAAATGGTGAAACCCCATCTCTATTAATAGACAAAAAAAAGTTGCTAAAACTTAGTCATGGGTGACATTATAAACAAGACTACAAATAAACAATGAGTGGCTCCCATCAGCTAAGTACTACAGAGGATTAATACCACAAGGCCACCCCAATTGCCTGATGACAATGGGTTAGTAAACTGGGAAATAACTTGGGAAAAAACCATAAAAGACGCTGGCTTCATTTGTAGAAAACACTTACCCTGGCATGTTTTATTTCCAGTTCAGACATTTCAATTAGATTCTTTCTAAATGCTGCCACTCTCTTCCGTTTGAAATTTATCAATTCTACAAGAAGAAAAAATGCTTATGAAACCCAACAAAAACTAAACAATTTCCATGTTCACTTTAACTACCAAATGGCATTCTTACAAATGGTCTCCAAAGCTTTCATGCACCAGCATTATTTCCTCACATTTGTATTGTCTCTGTGACCGGGACACACTAGACATCTTCTGTTAACGGTGGTGATACAGCTATCACTGTCTTTAAGTGGAAAACATCACCGCATCACCAAGCATGGTGAGCTGGAGGGCAGCAGCTGGCGACTTGGAGAACATGTGATGAGCAGCCTCTCTCTCACCCTCTAGGTACCAGTGACTGGGAACAGGGCTGGAGTATGGGTGCTGGTGAGCCACATACTTCACCAATGGCTTGTGAAAACCTTCTCAAAAGACACACCAGGTTTGTGCAAACAATGTTCAGCATCACTAACCATTAGGGAAATGCAAATTAAAACCACAATGAGATTACCTCACACCTGCTAGAATGGATTTTCTCAAATAGATGAAAGATCAGTGTTGGCAACAATGCAGAGAAAAGGGAACTCTTCTACACTGTTGCTGGGGATGTAAATCAGTACAGCTACCATGGAAAATGGTGTAGAGGTTCCTCAAAAAACTAAAAATAGAATTACCATATGAGCCAGCAAACCCATTTCTGGGAATGTAACAAAAGGAATTGAAATAAGTATCTCAATGGGGTATCTGTACTTCCATGTTCACTGCAGCATTATTTACAATAGCCAAAATACAAAATCAATTGAGAAGTGTCCATCAGCAGATGAAGACAATGTAGTAGAGACACGTAATACTATTCGGCCTTTAAAAAGAACAAAATTCTGTCACATGGGACAACATGGATGGATCTTAGAGGACATTATGCCAAATACAATAAGCCAGGCACAGAAAGACAAACACATTACATGATCTCACTTATCGGTAAAATCTTAAGTTGAACCCTCTAGAAGTAGAGAATAGAATGATGGTTATCAGAGGATGAGGGTGGGGTTCTGGGGAAGGTAGGAGCAAGAGAATGGGTAGAAGGCTGCAGCTAATAAACTCAAGGAGTAAATTTTGAGATATATTGCACAACAGGGTGACTAGAGTCAATAATGTACATTGAAACAGTAAATTTCAAATGTATTACCACTGAAAAAATGAGATGTCAATTAGCTTGATCTAATAATTTCACACTATATACCTGTATCAAAGGATCACAATGTATTCCATAAATGCAATACGATGACTTGTCGATTAAAAATAAAACTTAAAACATTTTAAAGTCCGAAACAGTAAAAACTGCTACTCGTATTCAAGACAGGTTTACTTGATGATCTTCAGGGCATGCTTCCTTTTCATTTACTCCTATTGCCATCAGAATTCAGCATTAATGACCTATTGGAAATTGGAACAAACCAAGAATATGCGTGTCTCGCCCTACTACCTTCATTAAATTTTGACATTAAGTTCTGTCTCGCAGTTTTGCTTGAGTAAAACTTTGACCATCACTCAACCTTCTGCTGGTGCTCAAGTGTTCAGAGCAGACTCACCCTCCTCCTGTCTCTAGTGTTGTGCAAAAGAACTACAATATAGGCAGCCACATCTGAGTTAAAAAGTCACAAATTTCATAGTGATATGTTAAGTCTATAGTGCTTGCACTACAAGGTGATGTTTATCAGTCCCTTGGATATCCTGGGTGAAAATAAGCTCCCTGCCTTCCTCTGGACCTACACATAGTACCAGGGCTCCATATGCTAACTACTCACCTGCTGTGAAACCAGCCCTTACCCACTGACTCAACTCTAGTCAGCTCAGCTACAAGTCTCAGAAAGCACTTGTACCAGAGGCAAACACAGGTTAAGACCCACCAATCTCAGCATTCTATGTACCTATTTTGCATTTTGAATATAGGGTATAATCAATGTGGGCGAAAACTTTAGGCAGTAAAGGTAGACCTGAATTGGCATCATTTTTTAAAGTTCTGTGTTTTTTCTTTAATCTCCTCTAAAATTGCCAGAGCCATGGAACTTGCCTATAAGATTTCAACTCAGTAGTTCTGAAGTGTGTATGTTTCCTTGAAAATTTTAGTTAAAAAAAAAAAAAAAAAAAAAAGCTGTAATTGTTTCAGGAAAAGGGTAGCACGAAGGTTACTTTGGAAGAAACCAGGACAGCCTCAGAGCCTATCTACGTGACATTTGCCAGGAAGCTCTGTGGCTTACAGTTAAGGTATTGTATTATAACCCTGAATAGACAAAAAGACAAATGATTAGAACTCTACCAAGTTTAGGTTTCCCCCAGGTAGCTTCAGGCATGTTGATGAACAGATCTTTCCCTACGTCTAGATTACCCAACCACTGGGAAACCAAGTTAGGAGAAAGCTAAGTTAAGATATGAATTTTTCATGGAAACATGAGTTCAGGGGGTGGGGGCTGAGTCCAATAGTGCCCGACTACAACTACTCACATTCTGGGTAATCCATTCCAACATGTGCTCTGGCATGTTCCATGGCTCCTGAGAACCCAGAGAGGACTACATATTACACTCATGTTCAATGGAAATGGTAAAAGTCCTCTGCTCTGAGGACTGAAATGGATAAGGCAAGAAAGAACCCAGTGGACGCGGACATGGACCGGACTTGTGATCCCTGCAACCTGCATGTGTGTGCAACAGCATGCATGTGCGCGCACACATACATTTCCTAGCTCAGTCCACTGAAGGGCACAGAAGCAGAGATACCCCAAAACAATGAGCATACTCAGATGCTGGTAACTGTTCTCAAAGAAAAAGAACCCTGGCTCCCTGAAGAAATGGCCAGTTTCAAGGCTGGAGTAAAGAGTAAGATTAGCATAGCCTATTGCTCTAAAAGAGGGGTTAGGGTGTTACAACCACATGCCAGCTTAAAGGTGATCCTATTGGCAAAGTCTGGACAAGCATCAAAAATAACTTGGTAATAATGAATCCCAAACCATTTTAAAAACTGGGAATTCATGACTCTAATAAAGAAGATAAAGGAAATCTCTGAGAAAAGGGAAGGCATTTTGTAGTAGAATAACAAGTGCCAACTTGGGTAGGAAAGTTAGAGCTGGAGATGAGGGAAATCGTCTTTCTCCAACCATCAGAGTAACAGCTGCTTTAGGTAAGAATCATTAATACATGCTAAATCTAGGGAGAAAGTTTGATGAAGACCAAGATATTTGCGTGGTCTTAAATTGCCTCACCACAGATTGATGGTGGTTAAAACAGTAACTACACAGTGGAGAAATTGGATTTGGACACTATCTAACTGAGTAATCAAAATTACCACCACAAATGAAGGAGAAACACAATGTTCAATCAGAAGTGACACCCCAAGAAGGGCGTATTACTTCTATTCTGCCAGGAACCCATAACCAGATCTAAAACATGAGGACACCAACCAAAAGTCATAAATACAGGAATTGTAAAGAGATTCTCTAAAAAGACTGATATCATTAAAAACTAAGAACTATTCCAGAGTAAAGAAGACTAATAGCTAAAATAACCAGATGCAATCCTAGACTGGATCTTGTAGAGGACATCAAGACAAACATGAATAGACAGCAGATTGTAGTCCCAAAGTTAAATTTATCACAGCAAATAACCGTACTGTAACCATACAAGAGAATGTCTTCAGTCTTAGGACATAAACAACAATGTTTTTAGGGCTAAAAGGAGCATGATGTATGCAACGTAATCTCCATTGGTACAGAAAAATCAGGTGTGTAACGTTTGTAAGTACACAAAGCCATGAGGGTGACTGTGCATGTGCAAGTGATAAGGCAGATGGGGTGAAGTGTGGACACTGGGTGAAGGATAGATAGGTGTTTTTTGCACTATTTGTGCAACTTTTCTAAGTTTGAAATTATTTTCAAACTAGAGTACAGAAAGAAGAATGTCCCTGCTCAACCTTCTTTTGCAGATTCGGAAAGTTGTTCAAATTTCTGGCAGCACTCCTGCTGGTGTGCCTCAGCCAACTTGACGTCTTTGCTCTTTAACCGGGCTTTATCCAGAGCTTTGTTTGAGTTTTCATAGTCAATGAGGGCTTTGGTGCGTCTGTATAAGAGATCCTGGGAAAAAAATTAACAGGTATACATACTAAATATCTAAACCAGTCTAAAAAATAGCCCAAGTGCCAATGTACCACCTGAGATGTTAAGTGGCAATAATCTACCTCTACACCTTCCCTCTCCCAGAGTATTTTTAAATCTCCAGCTTTGGCAGCGATAAGCAACGCTGATAGCTTTGTTGAGAGCTTTTTTTAAGAATCCCTTATATGAATCAAGTGATTACTCAAGAGTGAAAACAGAAGAACTATTTTTTTTCAGTTAATTCAGTAAACAAAGTTAACTTCAAAAATTAAATATTGTGCATCAGAACACATATACAGTCACTGCTGGGTAAGTGAAGTTGAGAGCTGCTAAAATAGAACTGGGCAATGAAGTTAACCCTGCCCTGCAAATACTGCTTCTGGTAATCTACCTTGGAGATCCACTTAGTCAGACATAAAGGTTCTTTGCAATCTTACAACAAAGTAGAAGTTACTTCAGTATCTGAAATCTGCAATTATGATGTATAGATTATGCATTTAAAACTAGGTGAAATAACTGATGGGTGAAACTACTAGGCCTATTTTTGTATATACTCAAATAATCTTAAGTGAGATCAAATTCCATGAAAGAAGAAAATAAGCCACTAAAAAAGTATGTTTTTAAAAACTCCAAGATTCAGAAAACATGCCAAAGGGCAAATTAACTAAAATAAAACTACATGATGGGGGAAAAAATAAATTTTTACTCTTACTTTCTGATGACATTTCAGCCTCAGAGGGCATAGAATCCTATCTAATTTTATTTTGCCTGATTTAATACATTTCACATAAAATTAAAACATATTTGTTCAGGGCAATGCAGACAATGCATGTTTCATTCCCAAAGGTTATTCTGCTTACCAATTTGCCCATATATGTATATAAAGCCTTATGGCTCAAAGGCTGCAGGGAAACTTGCAATTCAATAAAAATTCCCAAATCTTCTCTGCCCCAGCAACAGCCCTTTCTGCATGTTATGTCTCATATCAATGACCTATCATCCCCCAAACTATTACCTGTCTACTGCACACAACCCCCACAGTGCTGTCAGATACACAAGCTTTATGGACACACAGCCAGAGAGGCATGTCGTTCATAAAAACAAGTCTGATAAACTCTCATTCTGCCCCTTTGTGTAAAGAAACTTTTTAAACAGACTTCTGGTCCTGCATTGCTCCGAGAAGCTGAGCAACTCTCTTCCTACCTTAGCAGCTTCAATGTTGAGCATGTAGTATCGGAGGAGCTCTGTTAGCTTCAAATCTTCATCTGATGACACTCGACCCTCTACTTTCTATATAGAAAAGGAAAGGTCACCATCAAGGCAGAAAGCTACAGATTATAAAATATATGTTATGAAGACCAACACAAAAATCCTTACCCTAAGCTTTTCAAATAGCTCAGCAACCTTCAACAGGTACCTGAAAATGTACATGTAATTTTGGTGTAAGGTCTTAAATCATCTATAAACATGATCTTACCAGCGTGCAAGACAGGAATGGGTCAACTCAGCAGTCCGAGCCTGTGGCGCTTTAGCGTTAATTTGAAAGTGCTCTCACTTCAACTGACCCCAAATAGTAGAGAAGATGGTCACAAAACTACACACATGTACAACACCACACTCAGCCCCCTGGTGACCCTTTGGTCATCCTGCCATGTGCCCAAATATTCTTATTAAATGCCAAAGCTGTGTTAACCAAGGTCAGCTTCTAATGAGCTCTGCTATGGGCATCACAAAGCAGTAAATATGCTATTTAATTCATCATGGTTCTGCCATTAGCCTTTCAATTTCAAGTCAGAAGTAATATCACCTGTTTTGCCAAGCCTGGATGTTAAGTAAAATATTGTCTTACACCAGAAACGCTCAGGATGGAGAAACTGAAACATATATGTAAGTGCTGAGTGAAAATGGAAGGGTTTTTAATTCAATGAATGAAGATAATTTCAGAAAACTGTACATCAAAACAGCTGTGTGTCAGACTGGGGTCATTAAATTATTCTCATGACCACCATAACCAAATCTCTTCAAAGTCCAGGGCAGAGGCACATGTTCTCCGGATCTCCTGGGGCTGCATCACAGGCCAAAAAAAAAAAGAAGGTCTAGGGCATTACCAGGCAAAATGGCAAGCACCAACTGCCAGGGGAAGATTCAAGATAAACTCTCACAAACGCCAAAACTAAAGAAAACAGGCTTTTTAAGTGTGACAGAAACTATTGCTTTGACAACATTTACTGTATTTGTTCACATATAGAAGAGCCCAAGTCCCCTACAATTGTCTTGTAAGTGTCTTATGTCCAGAGAACATATAAGATGAGTGCTGGACACCTGTCTCACTGAGCTCTTAACTCCACAGCAGGACCATATAGTCATTACTCATTTATGCTTTTAATTTTACCACTCAGCACTCGTCAATTGGGTTTGGGGAAATGCTTTTCCAAAAAAACTTACTTTTTGATGACTGTGGGCTCTTCTAAAGCCAGGCTATGTAAGCAGGCTGCAGTGTGGATATAGTCATCGGCAACATCTGCAGAAACAAGGACAAGTCTTTTATCCAAACACAGCCAGGCTCATCAGCAAAGCTGTATGTGACTAGTGGTAAATGATATTTACTTTTATGAGATCTGGTCATTTTGTCAGCTTTCACACAAGAATCTTTGATCCTATTGTAATAGTTAATAAGGAAGTTCTTCTCTTGCTCAAAGAAGTCATCTACCTCCTAGAAGGAAGAAAGAAAGAACCAGACATTTCATGAATGTGAAAATATACTATCCCTGTAGCCTTTTATATTTATCAATATAAAAATATATTGCTTAGAACATGGCAAATAAACATGAGTAAAGTTTAACCTCTACAGATCAGGGAATTACAAATTTACTATTTGTAAGATACTATTTCTTAACCAAGACTGGCAAAAACCAAGGGCTGGCAGAAAATGTCTACAGAAGAATCACTTAACAATCCCCAGTAAAACTGGCATCCTAAGACCCAGCTATTTTACACTAGTACAATGGTTCTACCAGGTGGAACATGGCCACTTAGCCTTGCATACCTATCTGTGTGTGAATGAGGGGTTTTTTTCTCGATTGGTTTCAGACTGGGAGGAAATCCAGGTATCTAGCAGGCACTGGCCAAGGATGCCAATGCCAAATATCCCATAATGCATGGATACAGGACTGTCCCATACACCTTAAACTGGACTAAGTCCGAGTTTCCTAATTTCTGATGATGCCCTCTCTACTGAGCACCTGTATTCTGGGCTCCCTGGAATGGCAGAGGCAGATACCAGATAGTAACTGTAAGGGTTACTCAGTTACAAAGGAATGAGAAGGGCCGAGAGGGAAGTAAATCATACCTATAAGGGTAATGGAAATGTTTGGAAATTTTTGTATTCTTATCTTTGTGCTAAGACCTTGAAATACAATATGTAAATAAAATCTAAAGTTTGGTTCCTTAGTAGTGCTAGCTAGGTTACATGTCAAGTGCTTCTCCATCACCTATAGTTGGTAACCAAACTGGACAGTGTAGTTCTGAGAATGGGATAAAATACTGATCTTGTATAAAATACTGATCTTGTATATTATTTTAGAAATTAACTGAGTAATCTCCCTCCTTACAGAAAAGGAGAAAATGAAGCCAAGTGTGGAAAGGTTCAAGTTGCTTCTTGGAGAGAACAAGGTGCTTTGGGAAATAAGTGAAAATTGAATAAGTAGATGAAAATTACCAAAATCTGAAGAAAACTTACATTTCTTAAAAGTTAACCATCTGCTTCACAAGTATCTCTTTCAAAGAAATAAAAGGTCATCTACTCCCAATGAAGTCAAAAATTTTCTCCAACAGCCAAAGGTCACTAACCTTAACTCCAGTAAAAAGGACTTCATCAGCACTTTTCACCACACTTTTGAAGAAGCCACCAAACATCTCTTTAGTATTTTTCCGCCTCACACTTAGCTAAAGGAAGAAAATTCCAAAGAACAGTTTATATGGTATGTATTTTTCTAGGTTCTCTTAAAGAAATTCTGAGTAACATTTTAAGTAATCCTCTTTATTACTACAGGCAAATGCACAAAGTATCTTTAATTCTGCCTTAACCTCCAAGCTTTAAAAACACCTAATGGCTAAACCTAAACATAGGTAGGTCATCTCATTCTAAAAGGCTGAAGAGATTTTGAAAGACTGACTAGAAGCCAAGTCTTACTGGCTTTGAAATTCTTGGGAAAATCACTGTTCTCTTCTATACATATTAAGTAGCAAAAACCAAAACATGTTAAAAAGAAAAATAGCATAAAAGTCATAATTCAATAAAAAGGGTAGCTGGGAAGAAAATAAATTACACAAATTTTAATTCCCTTAAAATGAACTTAGTTAACTTCGGGATTGTTAAGAAATTAAGGGATGTTTGGGACTGTTAATTTCTTAAAAAGAAATCTAGGTTTTGGAAGGGGAAAGAAGTCAAAATTTTCTTTAAGCAGAGTTTTACAAAAAATGACTTACACAATGAAGGAAAAGCAGCATGTAAAAAGGTTTCCATTGTGTAAGAAATTCAAAACTCTAAAGCAGTCAATTTTTTAGAAACTATCAAGAACATTTTGAAAGTATAAACATTTGAAGTGGATTATCAAAACGGAATAAAAATGTCTTACATCCTGATCATATTCCAGGAAAACATGAAAGTTGTGATCTTTACTGAGAACAGCGTGAGAAGAAAGCCGCTGAAGAAAGACTTCATGGGAGGAGACAGTCTTCTTAAAAACAGCGAGATACTCACTGAAAAGAGATGCGCACACAGCATTCAGTTGACACAGCTCAACTACCTGACCAATACCACTCCTGGTTAATTCTATGGCTCTGCTCATGCCACCACATAAAACACTGCAACTGGACCAAACAGTGTTTCAGTATAACCTGGTGTCTAGTTAGATAAGGCAATTGCCATTTTTGAATCTGTGGAATAAGCCTATGGAGGAAAGCAATGTTGTCATTGGATTTGATGGATCAAGTCCATGAGCTCCCAAATCTACATGCAATTACTGTTAGCTAGCAGCCACAGAACATTCGTTTCTTTAAAGCAATGAAAACCCTATAACTCTGCAGCCTGAGTACACGGCATGAGTCTAATGAAGCTAAAAGTTAACAAAAATTACAAAGCAGCTTTATCTCAACCTAGACATTAAGGGTCACCTTAAAATTCCTAATGCTAGAAACTTGGGTCTGTTGTGTTCAGTGCCTCATTCCCCAGAGCTGGTCCCAAAGCCACTCAAGTGTCTGCTAAATGCTTTCAGTGCCTGGAGGTTTGAGTGCTGCCCTAGATGACACAGGGGCTTGGGGGACTTGGAGCTGATGGTGGAAGAGCGGAGGAATGAGTACTTTTCAGCTAAAATGAGGAAGTCAAGGACGGATTCACAAGAAACTTTCCAAAAATCTATTTTTGTTTGAAAAAAATAAATGACAACCAGATTAAAATATACTTGCTGCCTATAGACCTGGACTTCCTCTTTCAAATCAATGTGATGGTTACTGAGAATGCTGCTCTGTAAACAGCACTCATTATTTGGTCTGGCCCAGGGACAGCTCACTATAATCTCAGCACTATGCGAGGCAAAGGCGAGCCGATCACTTGAGCTCAGGAGTTTGAGACCAGCCTGGGCAACATGACGAAACCCCATCTCTAAAAAAATTTTAAAAGTTAGCTGAGTGTGGTGGCATGTGCCAGTAGTCCCAGTAACCATGGTCCCAGTTACTCAGGGGACTGATGTGGGAGGATCGCTGAAGCCTGTGAGGTGGAGGTTGCAGTGAGATAGCACCATTGCACTCCAGCCTGGGCAAGAGAGCAAGAACCCGTCTCAAAAAAAAAAAAAAAATTTTTTTTTTTTTCATGTAGCAGCATTCATTACAATCTAGTTTCTTCTAAATGTCTAGTAATCAACCTTCTGAAAGAAAAGTTTTGTACATTATGAGCAATTTATAAAGGCACAAAAGTTTATTTCCTCACTGTGCCAGACCAGCATCCCTAATAAGTATGCTCTACATATGGGAAAAAACAACTAGTCTATCAGGTATTAGTGTCAATGGCCTCCAATGAATCAATGTGTGAAGTACAAGGACCATGCCCCACACTATGCAAGATGTATTACTAGTTTTAGAAAATGACGTTAGTGACCTAATTAACAGCTGCACTTAAAATTAAGTCAGGTTCTTCTACTTATTTTTGTATACAGCACCACTTTTCTACTTCTCAAAAGACAGAGCCCACCAGGAAAATTCACTTACGCTTCCAGTTCTTGTTTCATCTTGGCAAATTCTTCTTTGGTCATAGACCCTTCACCTTCTCCCAGTTTCTGCATCTTCTCTCGAGGACCATCAAAGTCGGGCTTCGTAGGAGCAGGTGGAATCTGCAGCAGAGGCAGGAACTCATGAGCCTCTTGTCCCAGCAGCGATGTTTTCTAGTTGGTGCCTCATTCTACTCTTGCTGGTCCACAGGAGACAACCACTCCACTCCTGTGGGGCTATTTAAAAGTCAACTCCTGTTTTTTCTTAACCTTCCTTATTTCTTCTGGCCACTTAAAATGAGGTGTCTTCCTGAGAGTTGCGTATTCACTTTGATGGCAATCATTTGTTCAGTTTATCCATTACAGACAATTGTTCAGAGCACAACAGTGTCTATACTGCTTCAATGTTGGCCTAAAACTAGTACAACGAATGCCAAACACCAACGATTAGCCATCAAGTTTATACAGTCTCCAGTATTCCAAAAGAATTTTTTTCCTAATCCTAAAGGATAATCAAGGACTCTAATTTTGAATGAACAGAACATACCTAAATATAAGCTTCAGTACTAATTTTGTTTATTAAGAAATCATCATTTGGACAGATTCTTCAGTCTGCCTGGCAGGACAAAACGCATGGAAATCTTTAAAATCAGTTTAAGTCTGTTCCTGCAGCCAAGAATTAACAACCAAGGGCTGAAAACTGCCTCTTTGAGCACTTTTTTTGTTTCTGGGAGACAAGAGTCTCGCTCTGTCACACAGGCTGGAGTGACATGGCATGGCCTCGGCTCACTGCAACCTCTGCCTCCCAAGTTCAAGCGATTCTCATGCCTCAGCCTCTCCAGTAGCTGGGACAACAAGTATGTGCCACCACACACAGCAAATTTTTTGTACTTTTAGTAGAGACAGTCTCATTATGTTGCCCAGGAACGTCTTAAAATCCTGAGCTCAGGTGACCCACCCACCTCAGCCTCCCAAAGTGCTAGGATTACAAGTATGGCCTCCTTCAGCAACTTTTGAGAAATTTTATCACAAACTATTACCAATACTAATGTTTCCTAGAAATCAATTCTACTGACCCTAGAAAAAAACATACCAGAGAAAAACCAAACCTAAAGGTAGGTAAGACTAAAGTCATTACACTGTTCACACCCCTTTACAATGTAAATAATGTAAGCCTGGATGCACCACCTCAAAGCTCTAACACTATTTCCTTCACATATTTTCCACTTGACAGTTAGCAAATACTCCCATAGGTAGATGAAATCTAACTTTTCACAATCCATTACAAAAAGTGGATATAAGTCTCTTTTAAACTAAATGCATAGCAAGGCAGAAAGAACTAGCTTATTTGATTTAGTCTAAAAGACTCACAATAAGCCCAGCATAGTCTGTTGTTTCAATAAGAGTGTCATGTAGCCACACAAAGTCTTCATGTTGCCTTGTGACAGAAAACTCTGGGCTCTGAAACGTGGGCAATGTGGTCTGTAAAGAAAGAAAGAAATTAACTGGTAACCACGACTTTTAGATAAGTGATTTGGGTTTCCTGGGCTACATGGCAGGAAAATTCTGCATAATACATCATAGTATGATCCAGTAAAGAACCAAGCAGTAACACATGATCTCCGATCATGAAAGTCCCAGCTAAGCTTCAACCTGAACTCTAAGGATTTCTCCCCAAACTCCACCTTTCTGAAGCTTGTAATGAATATCCAATCAGATAATCTACTGGTAGAAGTTCAGTTCCAAGAAGTAAGCCACAACCCTTGTTTCTGTGTACTTTTTTTTGTATATATACATTTTTGGAACAGGGTCTGGCTGTCACCCAGGCTGGAGTGCAGTGGAATGATCTTGGCTTCTTGGCTCACTGCAACCTCTGCCTTCCAGGCTTTCAAGCCATCCTCCCACCACCTCAGCCTCCTGAGTAGCTGGAACTACAGGTGTGCGCTACCACATCCAGCTAATTTTTATATTTTTGGAAGAGAGAGGTTTTTGCCATGTTGCCCAGGCTCAATAGATCTGCCTGTCTTGGCCTCCCGAAGTGCTAGGATTACAGGTGTGAGCCACCCAACCCAGCCCCAAATTCTACTTTTGTAAGTCTGAATTTACCCCCCACCCCCAACATGTAACAAAAAAGAAAAATAAATTTTAAAAAAACCTCTTAGCTGTTACTTACTATGGTTCTAAAAATTGTCCCTGGCTTCCTTCCTTTTCACTCCAGTGAATGCTGATTTTACCTCCTTTGATCTGGTAAGCTCAGGCAGAGAATTATGTCACCAGTCTTTTTACACTGCCTCCGGAATAACTGAAGTGTGCTATTCAAGCCGCCCAAGCGTTAAGAAAAAACCACATGGGAAAGGTCCTTCCCAATTTAGTAAATGCTGAAAAAACAGCAAGCTACAGAGAGAAACTTCCCTTGGATGCAAATTAAAAACGAAGGTGGGGCCCCGGGGTGTGGTGGCTCTGGCTCAAGCCTTCAATCCCAGCACTTTGGGAAGCTGAGGCACGTCATTACCTGAGGTCAGGAGTTTGCAACCAGCTTGGCTGACACAGTGAAACTCCATCTCTACTAAAAATATAAAAATTAGCTGGGTGTGGTGGCTCAGGCCTGTAATCCCAGCTACTCTGGTGGCTGAGGCACGAGAATTGCTTGAACCCGGGAGTTGGGGGTTACAGTAGCCAAGATGGCACCACTTCATTCTAGCCTGTGCAACACAGTGAGACTGTCAGAAAAAAAAAAACAAACCACAGCCCAGGGCTCTGCCAGAGCAGAATGCTGCTGCCAAAATGGCACTCACCTGATGCTTACTGTGAGATTAGGGAAGTTCTCACTTAATAGTGCTACCCTATGAATAGCAACTGTTTCAAGCTCAGGGAATCTCTTCTCACATCCACTGTGAATAACAAGGCTGCAACCTAGCACTATATGTATTACCACTGTTTGTTACTTACCTTTGTGTGCACTGTAAATTTGACTTTATCTCTCTCACTGAGTGCATCAGGTATGTCAATCTGAAGCGAGGGATCAACATTCAGGTCCACAGATACAGATCTCAGCTGAAATACATTTTTTGCATATTAGTTTCAAACCCATTTGGCCCTAAAAAATTACTCCAAAAATGAGTAGTTACTAAAAAGCAGTTTATATGTAGATCATTTAGAAATGTCAATTGAGACATTTCTAAGTTTATTCGAAACTGAGGGGAAACCCCTTCTTCAAATGCATTGGTATATCCAAAGTATTCCTGTAATGTAAACAAAACAACTGCTACAATAATGTCATGTACATTACATATTTTTATGCCTACATGAGAAATACATTTGGCCAAATACCTGACTGTACACTAAGGCCTGTACAGTACTAAAGAACAAAATCTTGAATTCTTACATAAATGCCAAAGTACAATGAACATTCAAGAGGCATTAACCAGGCCACACAAACATCTGACAGGAAAACCTAGGGAGATGGCACAGAGAACAGCCATGAGGAATAGGATCCTGGGTGGAGAGTTCAGAGTAAACCTGGGACTGTTTCAAATAGCCAAGGAATCTAGACAGGAGGGGTGAATTAGAAAAACCAACCAAGGCCTTACTTAATTAGTACAATCCCACTGTGGTTACACATGAGCAACAAGTGTGAGCACCACTCTGAATACTCAACTAATTTTGTGAGCTGGAAATTCAGAGGAAAAAACTACGTAACTCCATTTCTGCCAGTCAAAAAAAGAGAGAGAGAGAGAGAGAGAGAGAGAGAACAGTGGCAGCACTGATAGGAACTGGGCTATTAGGGAAAAGTAACTTAAATAAAGGTAAATTAAAGCAGACAAGGTGGTGGCCAATCTGAAAGCCTGACACACAAGGCTCGAGGAACTCAGAGTGAGCCTCTCATTGCCCCATTCCTTTTACTGTAAAAAGTGCTAAAGTTGTCATAACACTGGATTACCCAAAGCAGGGAATGCCAACTGAAGATTAGAACAAAGAAGATGAGGTATTTCACTCCAAATTTCCCTTTGGGTCCCTTTCTTCAAACTAAAAAGTTCAAGACTAAAAACTATGTACTTAACCTCTAAAACTTGAAAATCTAGTCAATCAGCTACAAAAAGACTAAATACATTCACTAAAAGCACATGGATTACTTAAAAGTTTCAAGTACTTCCCTTTTCCTTAACACTGTATATTTATAATTCTGAAAGCCAGAGGGAGATATCACAATGGCTTTCCTCCCAGAAATTAAGCTCAAGTAGTCACCAGAAGTTGATTTTTAACAGCAACTATGAGTAACATCAAAACAGATACTTTTGAGTCCTCACATCTCAACCTAAGTACTTTTTCTTCCAAATGAATTATTGATAATTCCTATGAAATCTGCTTGTCTGGCTTAATTTTCACATGTCCATTTGTGAGATCTCTGCAAACAAAGATAAAGCTTCAAGGTCAGAGACTTCATTTGATCATAACTGTGACTCCAGCTCTGGCATATTTTCTGATAAGAGTTTCCTTCCTTCTGCTGAGTTAACACTGGGCAAATACAGCCTTTAAAAACAATACCTCAAACCATTAACTGAGATGTGCAGAGGAATACCAACGACCCTACTGATCTTAGGCTTATCTGTCAAGGTCAGGCAGGCCCAAGAACAGGAATTCACAGAGCCAGGCGTAAGAAGTAGCCATGGTCTCTGGAGGAGACATAGGGCATCTCACAGGACAGGTCTAAGGTGCGTTTCCCAGAGCTCTAAAACTGCCACATTTCCTAAGATTCCATTTCCTAAAGAAGTCACAAACCCTGACTTCTAGCACCGCTCAAATGAATATGCTGACAGTTCCATTTCTGCTCACAAGCCCAGTAAACTCACTGAGCCTGTGAACTCCATATGGGATACCCTTGGAACTCAAATAGGAGGACCCAAGGGGGATGTAATCAAGTAAATGCAGCTCATTCAAGCACCACAGTTAAAGCTATAATGGATGCTACCAGCTGCTTTAGCTGCTTTTCATTCCTCTGAATAATTATCTTCTGTTTTCGTTCCTTTTCCCATGTAGAGGTAATACCCCCGACTATACCTGTCTTCCTTCCTGGTTAGTATAGAAACATTTTTTGTTTCAGAATGTGATGAGGACAAAAAGAAGAAAACTACTAAGTATGAGTGACTGCAACCACAGCATATCAAACATCCGAGCTTCACTAGCAGCCATTTTTTGCCCAGACATTTCACCCTAGGAAGGGATTCAAGCAAAAATCCAATCACTTGACATGATAGTCCTAACCACCAAATAAGCAAATACTGCAATTCTGTATTTGGACCTAAAAGAACTGTCTAAAAGAGAATACTGGCAAAATCCCTCAGCATCCAGGCCATCACCAACTCAATGTCCCTCAGGCACAAGTTAAACAAACTTTCTCATACTACAGCATATAACCCTCCAGATGAGACAAACATGGGTAGAAAGTAATGAAATGACTAGAGCTTCTAAGTCAGCATTTGTACCCTCACTCGGGAAGCATCAAGTGTAACTAAAAGTTCAGCATTCCTTCTTCTGCTTAGTCAACAAACCCACTCCACAGTGCTACAGAACTTGCTAAATAATGACCAGGCTCCACTCTTCCCCTCTCACTTGCCTTTGCCTCCATCTCCCTTAGCTTGAAGGGCTCAGAGTACTCCTTAGCCATGCTAGCCAACACTGAGTCTCTGCCTTAGGCCACAGATGTTACAATGCTTACAGTGGCAGTTCACAACAGTTGACAAAGCAGGCTTCAGAACCAAGTCCCGCCTTGGGCATGCCAGACCTTTACCATGCAAAGTTTTACCTCTTTTCCAGATCCCTTAGGTCACTTGTAAGAATCAAACTGAAAATATACCTACTCTCAAATAATTTAAGTTTTAAAACTGACTTCTGGCTGGGTGTGGTGGCTCATGCCTATAATCCCAGCACTTTGGGAGGCCAAGGTAGACAGATCACCTGAGGTCAGGACATCGAGACCAGCCTGACCAACATGGTGAAACCCCGTCTCTACTAAAAACACAAAAATTGGCCAGGCACGGTGGCTCACGCCTGTAATCCCAGCACTTTGGGAGACAGAGGCAGGTGGATCACAAGGTTAGGAGATCGAGAACATATTGGCCAACATGGTGAAACTCCGTCTCTACCAAAAATACAACAATCAGCTGGGCGTGGTGCGCACACCTGGAATCCCAGCTACTCAGGTGTGGCCTAAGACAGAGACTCAGTGTTGGCCCACAGGGCCAACTTTGCATGGTAAACGTCTGGCATGCCCAAGGCGGGACTTGGTTCTGAAGCCTGCTTTGTCAACTGTTGTAAACTGCCACTGTAAGCACTGTAACATCTGAGGTAGGATAATCGCTTGAACCCAGGAGGCAGAGGTTGCAGTGAGCCGAGATCACGCCACTGCACTCCCGCCTGGGCAATGAGAATGAAACTCCGTCTTAAAAAAAAAAAATTAGTCTGGCATGGTAGCACGTGCCCGTAATTCCAGCTACTCAGGAGGCTGAGGCAGGAGAACTGCTTGAACCCGGGAGGCAGAGGTTGCAGTGAGCCGAGATCGCACCACTGCACTTCAGCCTGGGCAACAAAGTGAGTCTCCAAAACAAAACAAAACAAAACAAAACAAAACACAAAAATCCCAACAACCAGCCTGAGCAATATGCTGAAACCTCATCTCTATTTCAGAACTTTTTAAGAATTTTAAAAAACCTGACTTTTGTAGATTTCTCTTGAAACTACTGGCTCATGTATTCAAAGTTTTAGGTAAAGTTTCAGTTCATGATGTACTTCCCTACCAGGTCAATCCTTACAATACAGATTATAATCAGCCTTCATGGTAAACAAGCATAGCTTCATTTGGAAAGTACATTTTCAACTGTTTTAAGAAATCGCAATGCTTTTGGTAAGAGAGCCAAAGCACTTCTCTAAAAGGAGAAAAGCAGTTACGGAATCCCTGTGCATTTCCTCACCTATTCATCAGCTTCCCAGCTGGGGCACATCAGACACCGGCTACAGGACAACCCTGCAGCTCTTGAGCTCCTGCCCACCAATCTTCATAAACTCACTTTTGGCCCAAATTTCACTTACGACTCACCGTGGCACAAGACAATGATCCCAGCAAAGCTGCCTCTTCAAAAGGTTTAATGGCTTACAGAGGGCAAAGGGCACCTGGATGACTGAACACCACAAAAGGCAAGATTCTAAAACTCAGAACACACGAGGAGAACAGAAAAAAATACAGATTTTTCTAAGTGGTTATGGTGACTGCAGACACAGCGCCAAAATGAAAAAGACACAGTCCAAAGAAGTTAAACTCCACAATCTCTGATCTGTTAAGATTGGAGCTAGCCGAACCGTCATTTAAATCTAATTAGTCATCTAAATCTAATAGTCATTTGCATACAATGTAAGACATGTATACAATATGCAGTGCTAGCCTGTATTTTCCTATTTGAATATCCCACATTAATTACTACAGATAGGATAAAAAACACATGTATCTATTTAAATTACTTCCTAGTTTCCATTCCAAAAGCAGGAGACACGTACTTAAGCAGCACATGCTACAGTGTCTTCTTTCAAACTGTTCCTAGCCTCCAGGGATTTTGTTTTGTTATGCCTCATTCTACTGCCTAAGAAAACTAAGATTTTGCCAGAAAGAGGGCCAATATGACAAATCACCCATGATTCTTAGCATGGAGCCAAGAAGTCTGCCTCCTTGATCAGATTTTCAGCTGGAAAGGTATCTACACCTTGCCTAGTCCAATATTCATAAGTAAGGACATAAAATTCTAAGATGTTCTGTCACACTCTAGGTTTGTATTACTGTCCACAAACGTTAAAGATTCACATGATACATATTTAGGAAACATATGTTACTTTGTTACTGTTTGAACTCTCAGGAAACAATGTTCCCATTGGTGCTCTGAATTGTTACTGTTCTCTTCCATCCTAAAGATAACTAATACCTACTTAACTGTGTTCAATCTCACCTGCAGATTATGGCACTGGTGTGTGAAAAACAACTGGTTCAACTAACTATAAGCAATACATTA